CAGAAGAAAAACATAAAAGCATAGAAGAGTCCATGGAATTTTCACAGTGGAAAACGACGTGTTTCAAGTTTCGTTATAAGAACCACTCAGAAAAGAAACTTGTCAGAGATATTGCCTCGCCGGACACTTGTTCAATAGGGTTTTGAAGGAAGCGATTACGATAAGGAATTTTCGCATCGGGGAGAACCTGCGCCACACGGAGCAATTACTTGGCTGCCAAGGAAGCGATGTGTGGCCCTCCCACGGCGAAAGGTGCTGTGGTTGCTGAGCAGGACCCGCGTGACGCTCCGCCCCAGTGACGTGACGCCCACTAGTTTTGTTGATGATCTGGATGGACTGTTTGCTGTTGGCTTTTCATTTTGGATGATCATTTCCCTTCTAGCGGCTGTATCTTCCAACTTGCCCACGTATTGCCTTATCAATCAAAACACTATGCTTGTTGGCATGATGGCGGCTATCGGGGTTAACACGTCCGAACAACGTCGTTCTTTACCGTCGCTCATCCATGGTCGAAAATGAAAGGGCAATCAAAGGGGTACTATTTTGCTTATTTTTGACGGATTTCTTTGCTTTTTTCGCCATTGGCGTACTATTGAGACCCTCACGTCCCCTCTAAACCCCTGTGAGATCTATCGTAATCGCTCCTTTTAAGCAGCTTCTTTGCACACACTAGTTCTTGCACCTTCTGATAAATTGGAAGTCGCTGGATGTGGCTTGACGGGTGAGCGGGATCCATATAGACAATTACGCAAGATATGTGACACGGTACGACTTTATTTCCTGTAGGGGTTGTTATTCAAAGCAACACACCCAGTGGGGTAAAAGCGGTCGTCAAGGAATCTGTGGATGACAAGTTGATTGAAAATGAAAAAAGAAACAAAGAAAACCGCCGATGAAGCCCTTAAACAAAGACTCCACTCTTCCCCCTGAAATGAGGGACGGGCGTTTCGGACGAGTTGTCTGAACTAGCTTGCATTTCTTGCTGGCTCGCGCCAGCAAGAAATGCAACTGCAATCGCTTATGCACCAATACAAAGAAAGACATACAGTAGCGGTCAAAAGTTTGGAAACTTTTTTATTTTTGATCTAGCGCGGCCGATACACAACGAAATTGTCCCAAATTTAGATATTCCATACAAAATCAAGTCAGAATACGACGGGAAGAATAATTTCCAAAAATCTATAATCATATTTGAGAAATAAGATTTTTTCAAGTAATGGCGCGTCAAAAGTTTGGAAACTTTTTGTTTCCCTTATCATTATGATTCCTACTCTTCAATGTTTACTTGTTTCTGTTAATTTTAGTTCAACCATTGAGCAATGTGTAATTTCAAAATGAATTCATATGCAAAGGAAGCAGTTTTTCCATGGGAGGTCCTTTTTTAAACCCTACAATCCGGAATACGAAATTGAAATTGTTTCTTAGTAGTTCAGTCTCTACGGAAGCAATATTATCGAATGTTTCTAGCGTTATTGGAGTCGAGTAAGCATAAGAAGAATGATCATTCACAAAAAAGTATCTTC